GGCCCGTCTCGCGAATCTTCCCCGGCCCCGCGGCTCAGCGCGCCCCCGGCCTCGGGCGCGGGTCCCTCCGCCGCCGCCGCCATGGCCCGGCCGCTGGTGCCTAGCTCGCAGAAGGCGCTGCTGCTCGAGCTTAAGGGGCTGCAGGAGGAGCCGGTCGAGGGCTTTCGGGTGACCCTGGTGGACGAGGGCGACCTGTACAACTGGGAGGTGGCCATCTTCGGCCCCCCAAACACCTATTACGAGGGCGGCTACTTCAAGGTGAGCCCGGCGACCCGCCCTCCTCAGGCCTGGGGACCCGGCGCGCGTCCCTGGGTCCCCCCCCCAGCCTCCTAAGGTGGGCCCGGAGCCTCTGGGGTCGCCCGCACCCCGTTTTGTGCCTTGTCCTCCTCTGCCCCAGGCCCTGTTCAGTTAAGCTGGGGGTCCCTGAGTCACTCCGCCCATCCATTCGGCCACGGGGATCTCTTTAAGGCAGCTTCAAGCGTCTTCTGTCGTCTTAATTTCTGAGTTCTCGGAGAGACAGCCCGGGGGCCGTCGCCGTTGTGTCCATGTGGCTCCCTTGGTTATGTCACTCTGAGGGCTCATCACCTGGGTGAGCCTTCCCCCGCCCCACCCTGCGAAGAGAATGGAGGGGGACCCTGGCTGACCCTGCCTGCCCCACCCCCTCCCCGCCAGAAGACAAAGGGGTTCCCCCACCAGCCACAGTTGTTGGGGAGCAGGCCTGTGGGGAGGCAGGCGGCTGCTCGGGTCCCAACACAGGCCCCTGGGGCCTTGGCAGCCGGACCCGCTTGGAAAGCAGCCGCCCTCGCTGACAGCAGCAGCCAGGCCTCCTGGGCTGCGTCCTGCTCTTTACATAACCTGCTGCCTGGGAGGCTCAGTTGGGGCCGCCACTCCCACCCTGGCTAGCTGGTGTCGCTCAGGCCCACCGAGTATAGCCTTCTTGGAGCCCAGGTCTGCCATCCTGAGCCATGTCCATTCTCCAGGGAGGTTTGATCCTTGGTGGGTTGTTCTGAGGAGTGGGAGGCGGGGGCTCCCTGGAACTGACCGTGCTTCCATCTGGTGTGACAGGGTGGGACCCTCCCTGCTCCACGATGGAAGCCAGCCTTGGGCTTTGGGAGGTTGTTCTTAGCGCTAGACAGCAAGGTGGGGCGTCCCTGAGGAGCGAACGGGACTGAGCCCCAGCACTGGAGCCCCCATCGCCGTATGCCAGGCGGGCTGCTGGGAAGAGAGGTGTGGGGTGCTGCCCGGACAGGTGCAGTCTGCGTGTCGGTCTCTGCTCGGCGGCCGTGAGGGCAGCAGTCTGCTCTTCCTGGGGCTGGAGTGCAGGGTTCCCCTCTTGCTGGGGGGCTGTGGTACAGGGAAGGTTTGAGTTCTGCATCTGCAGTCCTGGGGCTGAGAAGGTCCTGGAAGGATTTCAGCCTCTCCCTCACCCGAAGCCCTCTGTATCAGGGAGCAGCTGGCTGTAAGGACGAGGACCCTCGGAAAGCATCTCCCCAGGCCAGTTCAGAGCAGCGCTGACCTAGAGCCCCTAGGCCAAGGCTCTGTAACAGCGTGGTGGGGGAAAAGAATGTGGGTCACTAGCTCTTACAGAGAATTGCGGGTAGGGCAAAGGGCACCCCGACTCCATGTGAGCCCTGACCGCATCTGAACCCAGACACCACCTGAACCCTGATTCTCGTATAAGGGGAGTCATGTTTTGCTGGAGGACCACAGGCTGGGCAAGGGCTGCTTCCAGCCATCATCACATACGCCACAGTGGGCCCCCAGCCTGGCTCTGCCACCTGCCCCATGCGGTGGGTGGGCATGAAGGGGTAGACCTACCGTAGGAAATACCAGCACATGGGGTATGACCGCCCAGTGTCCCTTGCCTCCCCCTTTCTACAGCACCTGTCTTTCGGACGGGTCAGCCCCTCGCACTTGTTTCTGAGCACAGGTGGCCCGGGGGCAGAGGCTGCCATGCACAAGGACAGGCTTGGTGGGGCGGAGCGCGTGGAGGCATGTTCTGGACACCTCAGCTCTGTGCCGTGGTCCCTCCCTGCCTCCCAGGGCATCTGCCAGTTCACTGCAGTCTCAGAGGCGTCCGACTTAACCCCTGTGCTGGTCCATGCAGGCCAGAGCACCAGGGCTGCCATGGCCCAGGCCCTGGTGGTGGCCCTCAGCCCTTCTCGCCTGCCCCTGGGATGTCCACCTGCCCTGCTACCCTTGCCCATACACCTGGGGGCAGAGAGACACAACCACTGACTTCCTGTCTTGGGCCCAGGAGGCAGGCTGGGCTGATCAGTCTTCCCCTAGCATGGGAAATGGGGCCCAGAGGGGTTGGGCCACAGGCTTAGGGCACACAGCCCTAAGGACTGCAGATAAGTTCAGTTGGCTCAGCCTGTCTCGGCTGACCCGGAGCCTGGCACACCTGCTGGCCCGTGCAGTTGCCTCCTGGTGCCTGCAGGACCACACTGTTGCTTGGGGCCCTGGCTGGGCGTATGGCCGGGGCCTCCCCTTCTACGCATACACACGTGCACATGCTCACCGTGAGCTCCCAGTCCCGAGCAGTGTTGGCACTGATCCAGCTTCCTCTGTACAGTTGCAGTCTCAGTGGAGGCCAGCCTGCCCCCCATGACCAGCGGCCTTTGCCAGAACTCCTGTTCACCACAGCCTCCTTTTCCCCTCTAGGCTCACCTCAAGTTCCCCATCGACTACCCGTACTCGCCTCCAGCATTCCGATTCCTCACCAAGATGTGGCACCCCAACATCTATGAGGTGAGCCCAGCGGACAATTCCCTCTTGGGGGCCTGTTTGCAAGTTGGGAAGGGCAGACATGCGCACGTGCAGGTGAATGCACATGTGTGCATGGCATGCATGACTGCATGCAGATAAGCACATGTGTGAGAACATCTGTGGCTGAGTGCCGATATGTACAGGTGTGGGATATGTGTGGGGGTGTGCACGTGGGATGGCTATGAGCAGCAATATGCACGGTTGCGTGTGTTGAAGTGCACACATGTAGGATATATATGCGCGTGAGCATGGGTGGGTACGAAAGCGTGTGGGGGTGCACTGACGTGTGCATGTGTGGGCGTGTATGCATGTAAGCATATGGGATGGGTATAAGAGCACATGGGTGTGTGCTCACATGTACATGTGGGATATGCATGCATGTGAGAGCATGTGGGGTGGGTTTGAATGACAGTGTGTATGGGTGCATGCTGACATACACGTGTGGGATACACATGCGTGTGAGTATGTGAGCTTACAAGACCACACACAAGTGTGTGCTGATGTGTACACACATGGGACGTATATGAGTATGAGTAGGGGGTGTGTGTGAGCCAGAGTGTGTGGTGTTTGGGGAGTGAGCGGGTGGCATTCACATGTGGGGTACATATGTGTTTAAAGGTGGAGAGGGTGGAAGTGTGCAGGGATGTGTTGGCACACACTCGGGGTGTGTGTCGGCATGGTGGAAGCATGGACACATGGGTGTTGGTGTGTACATAAGTGGCCGCTGAAGCAGGGAGGCCCACTGCTCACACTGCCTTCCCCCTTGGTCCCTTACACAGACAGGGGATGTGTGCATCTCTATCCTGCACCCCCCGGTTGATGATCCCCAGAGTGGGGAGCTGCCCTCAGAACGGTGGAACCCCACCCAAAATGTCAGGTGAGGCGGCTGTGCTCCGGGGCCAAGAGGACGCTGGGGGGTGGGGGGTGGGGAGGTGCAGGGTGCTGGCCCCCGGCTCTAGTGTCTGGAGAGCGACGGCTCAGCGCTGACTCGTGTCCCCCAGGACCATTCTCCTGAGCGTGATCTCCCTCCTGAATGAGCCCAACACCTTCTCCCCGGCCAACGTGGACGCCTCTGTGATGTACCGGAAGTGGAAGGAGAGCAAGGGCAGGGACCGCGAGTACACAGATATCATCCGGTGAGCCTGGGGTGGGGGCCTCAGACGGGGGGGGGGGGGGGGGGGGGGGGGGGGGGGGGGGGGGGGGGGGGGGGGCCGGCCAGGAGCGGATAGTGTGGGGAGTGGGACGGGAGACGGTGAGCACTGGGGGGCGTCTGCAGACAGTCTGGGGCTGTGGACAGTGTCGGGGTGCGTGGGGATCTGAGGTCAGCTTGGCTTTGGCAACGAGGAAGATGTGGTAGTGTCCTTGGACCTGGGGCTCAGCGTTCAGGCGTCTGTGCCTTTGTGGGCTTTGAAGCATATAGCTCAAGTCAGACTTCACGGTATGTCCCCCTTGAAGGCATGCTGAGGTGTCGTTCCCATACAGCTGATGTGCTCCCTTACCCCAGGCTCCTCTGGGTCCCCGCCCTGGCAGCCATCAGGCCCAGGACCCTGTGTCAGTGGGTCACAGGCTGTCAGCTTCTGTGTCGAGGTGGCTGCCCGCAGCCTCGTATCTCGACAGCCCCTCCGGCCCTTGCACCTGTAGCTCCCCCTCGCACTGCACTGTCCCCTGCTCAGTGCCTCCCCGTCCCCAGTGTCGGTTGCTCGCACGCCAAGCCAGACAGGCTGCTCCACCCACTGCCCCGGTTTGTCAGGCCGGCCGGCACGCACAGAGGCACGCACTTGCTCGCATGGATTGCTGCCCAGCTGTGCACACACACAGATTGTACGAGCTTGTGTGCACGGGTGCCCAGCTGCAACACAGATCCGCACGAACCTGTGTGCACGGGTGCCCAACTGCACGTGCACACAGATCCACGCGAGTTCACATGTGTGTGAACCCAGTTGCACACACAAGTTCAGGGCTTCTCACACGGCCTTCGATTTCCAGTTTGAGTGCAGTGGCATGGGCGTGGCCTTGTGTCGCGCGGCCTGTTTCTGTTGGATGTTCTGGGTGTCTTGTTTCCAGTATTTTCTGCAGCTTCTGTGGCCGGTGTGGTCACGCGTGTCTGTGTACATACGTATGGAGTCGCACACAGGGCACGTCTCCTGTTGCTAGCCCGTGGGGGTCGTGGCCCACTCTTGTTCCCGTAGTCACTGCATGGGCATCTGCTTTGTCTGTTCTCCCAGATGGGGGCTCACCTGGGGCCAGGCCTTTGCTCTGCCCGCCATGCCCAGAGATCTCTGTGTCCTAAACCAGGAGCCTTCCGGGTGGTAGGCTCTCTCTGCTCCCTTGCCCAAGCAGTGCTGTTCTGTCCTGGCTGAGGGAGCCCAGGAGCAGGGAGCAGGCCTCGTGGGAAGGGGTGGTGAGCCTGCCTGGGTGCGCTCTGAGCAGCTGGCCCAGGCTGAGGCCAGAGCCCCAAGGTGGAGCCCCAGCAGGAGGGGGCGGCCACGTTCCTCTCGTTCACAGTGCCTCCCCTGTCTCCACGTCCCTCTGTCCTCCACATCCTTCCGTCCACAGTGCCTCCCCCAGTCCCAGGCAGAAATCGAAAGCAGACTGTTTTCACCCCGGCCTCCCTGTGAGCATCGACGAAGACTCCCTTAGGTGGCGGCCCCGCCGGCAGAGCCGCCTCTCTGCAGCCAGAAGCGGCCCTGGCCCTGGCCCTGGCCCTGGCCGCCCTCCCAGCCGCCCGGCCATCTCCCCAGAACCTGCTGTGGGATTCACTCATGTTTTGGCTTTTGTCATGCCTCTGGGTCTACGTCTGGTCTGCGGTGTCACATACGAACACCATGGCTCTGGCTTGTCCCTTCGCTCTCGGGCCCAGAAGCGCCAAGCCAGCGTTAACTGGCCTGAGAGAATGTTCCAGAAATTAGGGTTGATGCTCTCATCTGGGGCTGTCCTGTCCTGGGCTGAAGTCCGATCCTCTTAGTCCTCTCTTCTGCCTTGGGATTCCCAGATTTTGGGGATGGGACATATACGAGGGCCTAGGCTTGGGGCCTGCAGGGATGTGTGTAGTGGTGCCAGAGACATGGGGGGCTGTGGGGGCCACAGGGTGGGACAGCGAGGGCACAGCCAGCCCTCACCTGCCCCCTCCTCTGCAGGAAGCAGGTCCTGGGGACCCAGGTGGACGCGGAGCGGGATGGAGTGAAGGTGCCCACCACGCTGGCCGAGTACTGTGTGAAGACCAAGGCCCCGGTGCCAGACGAGGGCTCAGACCTGTTCTATGACGACGACTATGAGGATGGCGAGCTGGGGGAGGGGGCTGACAGCTGCTTCGGGGACGACGAGGACGACTCGGGGCCCGAGGAGTCCTGACCCTGCCGCCCACCGAATAAACACACAGAGTTTACCTCATGGACGGGATTGTGTGGCCGTGGCCGCTGCCCGCCGCCAAGACTACCTCATGGAGGTCTTTGCGTTCCTGGTGGCGCCACCCGGGCTGCCCTCCCTGCGTGGGGAGGGGTGGTGGGGTCCCGGGGCCACTGGGGTTGGGGAGGGCGGTCAGGCCGGTGCAGGGTCAGGAGGCCAGGATCCTGCTTAGAAAACACAACTGGGGACCTGCCTGGCAGGAGGGGCCTCGAGGCCCGGAGGGGAAGGTGGGCACCCGGGGGCTTGGAGTTGTGGCCTTGCTGTGGGCCCACGCGGCTGGGAGCACCTGGTTCCTTAGGTGCTGCGTCTTTGGTTTGGTTCGTTTGGAATTTAAATAAAACTAGTTTATGAGAAGCAACCGACTTTCTTGGCTTCCCTGGGACGGGCTCGCCAGGTCACCTGCTACCCTGCCCGTGGGGACAGGTGGGTGTCCAGAAAGCCCAAGGGGGATTCCTGTGTTCAGTTGCATCTGGGGACAAGCGGGTTATACCCAGAGCTCTGGGAGGCCACGGGGAGGCTGGGTGGGATGGTGCTGACTGCACTGAGTGTCAGGCGTGGAAGCGGCTGGGCCAGGCAGGCCAGGGGACGGGAAGAGGGGCCGCACCCACCCTGAGCCGCAGGCAGCACCCCTTCCCTCTGGTTGAGTGCCTCGGGCCATGTGGGCTGGACACCGCCCCAGTCGTGGATTGGTCAGGCGCCCAAGGCGGACTGCTCTGCCTGTGCTTGGGGGGTCAGTGTGAGAACCAGGCAGAGCCCTGCTAAGGGCGCCTGAAGTGCCCTGACCACCCCACCCACTGCTTGTTTGCCTGGAAGGCCTTCATCCAGTCCTTGGTTAACGGCTCGGAAGCCCAGAAGGCTGTCAGCTTGGCCCTGTTCACCCACCACTGAGACCCACACAAGGCAACAGGGACCCCCAGGCCCAGACCCACACTGGGGGCTGATGGTGCCCAGAACCGGGCACACACAGCTTCCTCATCAGGACAGCCTCCTCCTCCCGGGCAGCCCCTCCTGGCCCCCGGGGGCGGGAGTGTGAAGCTGAGTTTCCTGTAAGCCCGGTAAGTGGGTTTGGGGTGTCAGGTGAAAGGGAAGGCCCCTGGGCCCCAGCAGCCCGCTGAGGTGGGAGAGCCAGGTGCCTGCAATGTCAGCAGCAGGGTGTTTGGGTCAGTAGTTCATTGGAACGGCACGAGCCCACGTGTCGATGCCTGGAGTGTCCTGGCAGCGAAGGCTGCTTTAGCCCAGTGAGCCTGTCGGAATAAATCCCTGTTTTAAGTGAGCAGTGTGTTTACGGGGCTAAGTGGCTGCGGGAGACTTAGGCCCCAGTTCTGGCCCAAGCCCCGAGAGGAAGAGGGCTCCGGCAAGGCTCCATTGGGAAGTCCAGCCTCAGCCCAAAAATCAGGCCCTTGCCCAGGCAAAAGTCAGAGCCAGGGTGGGGGGCCCTCTCATCAGCCTGTCGGCCACGTGGACAGAAAGGGAAGAGGGGATTATGCTGGAAGAAACGGACCCCGCGGATGACCCCACGGAGGGAGGTGCCCCAGCAAGGCCGCCCGCAGCCTCCCGGAGCTCGCAGGCACGGGCGGGGGATACGCTGTCGGTGCGCAGCGCTCGGCCGCAGATGTTCATGGACACGGGTGCTCCCAGCAGCCTCATTGATAAAACCTAGAAAACCAAATACCCATCAACTAGCTGACGCACAAATGGTGGTGTGTTCCCAAACTCGTCAGTATGGGACAGGCCCCCAGACAGCAGCCCGGCCCCACATCAGCATCCGCGTGTCATACTGGGGTGCAGCTGTGGAGAGGGGAGCTGTGAGCTGTGCCCCACCCACAGGAAGAGGGCAGAGCCAGCCCCACCTCGCACCTCCACACAGCAACATGGAGCAGCGCCTGTTCCTACTGCTTACGCTAGCCCTGGGGGCCCTGGCGGCAGGTGTGTGGGGCTGGGGGTGCAGGGGGGGGGAAACAGAGGCCCCACGCTGGTGCCCAGAGGGCTGGGGGAGGAGAGTGCTGGGACCAGAAGATTGGAAACAACACCAGTGTCCCCGAGAGGGCCCTTGAGGAAATGGTGGCTCGTCCACAGAGCAGGGCCAGTCGTTTTAGTTGAAACAGTCTCCCAGGTAAGTGGTTCAGTGGCGAAGGTAAATGCCATCAGGCAGAGTCAGCCCATGTCGTGTGGGACTCTTCCTTCGGGGAGAACCTGGGAGAGAGTGCCGCTGTGAGCCGGCGGTGTTTGAGGAAAGGGGGATCCAGCAGACGGGCAGCCACTTCCCACGCTGTTTGGGCCTTGGGTGTCGTGCCGTTCGCACAGATGGATTCAAAAAACGTCATGGAGCGTGACTGCTGAGGGGTTTGGGGCCTGCCCCCGGGGTGATGAGAATGTTCAGGAAGCAAGTAGCAGGGTGGTTGCCAGCCCCACTGTGAGGGCGCCAGCTCCACGAACCGTACACTTCAACCAGATGAGTGAGTGCTGAAGGGCACCTCAGTGAAACCTGAAAACGTAAGTTACAGGACGACTGGGGCCCATCGCTTCCAGACAAGTACTTAGTGTGTTTTCATTTGACATGATTTTGGACTTAGAGAAAAATTGTGAGAACCTTAGAAGTAAGGCCCACATTTTCTAAGCCGTCAGCATCTGAGCAAGTAGCAGTGGTGGAGGGGCCGGGCTCGGAAGGTCCGAGGAAGGCTCAGGGCTGCGCGCTGGCGGGACGGGGACCGAGGGGCAGCTCACAGAGGGGTGAGGTAGGGAAGGGCCAGCGTGGCAAGGCGGCCCTGTGGGCCATCGGGGTCTGGAGTTACAGAGCGCAGTGGGTCACGGCAAGATTTCCGGTTGGTTTACATGGAACATCTTTTAGTTCTTTTAAATTCACAATTGGTTGCAAACAGCTGTATTGAGGTGTCCGTTCGCATGTCATTCCGTTCACCTGTTCAAAGGATGTGGCCCCGTGGCGCGGACCCCGGGAGCCCTGCCGCCCTCAGCAGCACCTGCTTTAGTGCATTCCCAGCACCGGGACAGCTCAGTAGCAGCCCCTGGCAACCCCTAGTCCTGTCACCCTGTCTGGGTGTGTCCGCCCCACACTCACAGAGCGGGGCCCATGTGGGGGTGCCCTTTGGTTTCCGTCTTCTGTCGCTGGCCACCGCTCCAAGGTGGCCCACGCCGCAGCTAGCCGTCCTTCTCTGTGCCTGACCCCCACCGTCGCACGGGCACACTCTGTTGGCCCAGTGTCTGCATGACACTTGGGTTGCTCTACTTCCTCAGGGATGTGAGCTGTTCTGCCGTGAACGTTCTCACACAAGCTTCCATGTGGATGTGTGTGTGTGTGTGTGTGTATGTGTCTCGGGTACCCCTGGGAGCACAGTTGTTGGGCCGCAGGCATTCGGTTTGTGAGCCGCTGGTGAACCACACTAGCTCCTTGGCGGCTGTACCATTTCACAGCCCCACCAGTTATGCGGGGCCGTGTCTCTCCACCCATTCGCCGTTCAGGAGCCTGGCTGGCTGTGGGAAGGGGCTGGACTGTGGTGCCCAGGGGGTGGTGTGGACGTGGGTGAAGGGGTGGAGAGGAGAGGTTGCCCCTCCAGGACGTGGGGGGCAGGGATGGGTCACGGGTGACTGCTGCGTTCCCACCTGGAAGTCGCAGGGATCCGCAGGTGTCTGATCAGAATGACGGACCTGCTTGGGGTCCCGGCCCTCTGAGCCCCCCCGCCCCCCCCCGGGGAGGAAGGGGCCCATAAGAAAAGGGCCACGTAGCCCTAACTGGCTCGCTCTGTGCCCCTCCTCACAGGCCACACGTTCCAGGCCCAGATCATTGGGGGTCGTGAAGCTGCCCCCCACTCCCGGCCGTACATGGCCTCGCTACAGAAGGCCGGCACCCACCTGTGCGGGGGGGTCCTGGTGCACCCGAGGTGGGTGCTGACAGCTGCCCACTGCCTGGCCCAGCCGTGAGTGACCCTTCCCCCATCACCCCTACCTGGAGTGCATCCCTGGCCCCCCTTCTCACCGGGGACGCCGTCCCTCTCCATGACCACGCTGGCTGCCCATGGACCCCGGCAGGGGCTGGGGAGGTTTGCTCACTTCAGAGAAACAGGGGAAGGGTTGGGTGCTGCCCCGATGAAGCTGGGCCGCTGGCCACAGCAGGGCCGTGTCTGCCACCTGGTGGCCAGGAGGGCGGGGCTGCCCACTGGGGAGGAAGGCGGTTGCTGCAGCCGGGATTGAAGCTCCCCCATCGACGCACCCAGGGCACTCCCACGTCTGGGCTTGGCAGTCACAAAGCGCCCAGGTCGAACGGACGGTCTGCTGGCCTCTGTAACTGAAAGTCTCGCAGGAGGGCGAGCTTCAGGCACGGGGCTGCCCGGCACGCTCGGGGGAGCGCAGGAGAGTGTATGCCAGCCACAATCTCAGAAAGTCGCACCGGGGGCGGCAAGGATGACCCCGTCCCAAAGTCCTGGGGAGCACACCTGCGTCTCTGGGCTGAGGCCTAGCAGGCTTGGTGCAGAGGACCCGGCCTCGGTCACGTGCCAGCCTCACACGAAGCATGTGATCCGGGCATAAAATGCAGAGGGAAGGCTGGACCACAGGCAGGGGCCCTGGGCAGGCTTCTGGGACCCCCAGCGGGGTCGGCGTCTCTGGACAGATACTCCCAGGTTGGGGTGGGAGCTCCCCAGAGAAGAGGAATTGGGAAGGAGGGCCGGCCAGAGCCCAGCTTGTGTGGGGATGCCGGACGGGGGTGCACAGCAACGCCTGCACACAGGAGCAGCCTGGGTGCGGGCCACGGGCATAAGGTGTCCCGGGCCGCTGGCCGCACCCTGGTTCCTGCTGCCCACAGGAGGAAGCTACTGAGGCTGGTGCTGGGCCTCCATGCCATACACGACCCTGACGACCCTGGCCTGCCCTTCCTCATCAAGATGGCTGTCCTCCACCCCGACTACAAGGCGGCCCCCGCCCTGCAGAATGACCTCGCGCTACTTAAGGTGCTGGGGCATAGGTGGGACACGGGGGCTGGCATCACCCCCCCTCCTCTGATGTCCAAGGCCCCACTGCCCCCCGCTATGCCTGTTCTAACACCTCGCCGTGTTCCCCCTCCACTGCCTGTCTCTTCCTATCCCCTCTGTTGTACCTGACACACCCCTCCTCCCTCCCCACCTGTCCCCGCCCCTCCCCCACCTGCCCCTCGTTGTCTCTCCCCTGCCCCCGTGACCTCCCCCTTCTGCTCCATTCCTCCCACCCCCACTGCTCCCTACAGCTGGATGGCAAAGTGAAGCCCAGCAAGACCGTGCAGCCCCTGCCGCTGCCACGAGGGTCCCGGGCAGTGCCGGTGGGGGCACGCTGCAGCGTGGCGGGCTGGGGGCTGACCCAGGCCAGGCGGCTGGCCCGGGCGCTGCGGGAGCTGGACGTGCGCGTGCTGGACGCCCGCATGTGCAACAACAGCCGCTTCTGGAGCGGGGCCATCGCCCCTCACATGTTCTGCCTCTCGGCCGAAGCCCAGCACCAGGCCCCCTGCAAGGTGAGGCACTGGGCGGGAGGGGCCCGCGGGCAGCCCGGGTTCCCAGCGTTCTCTGTTCTCTCGGGCCCTTTTCAGAGAGGTTGAGTAAGTTGCCAGAGGTCACACAGCCAGGAGGCGGCAGAGCTATGATTTGATCTCTAGCCTCATAGATGATCTGGGCCCAGGGCACAGCAGGGCCAGAGGCCCTGGGGCAGTGAAAGGGGCAGGTGTGTTACAGCAACAGGAAGGAGGGAAGGAAGGGGTGGGCAGAAGGAAAGACAGGAGGGAGGAGGAAGGGGGGAAGGAAGATGAGGAGCAAGGCCCCAGGCCCCCCGAGGGAGAGCCGGCCCGCTGGTGCCACTCACCCCACCCCGGCGGGCACAGCAGTGACCTGTGGTTGTTTCCACAGGGTGACTCTGGAGGGCCCCTGGTGTGCGACAGAGGCTCAGTGGCCGGCATCCTGTCCTTCAGCTCCAAGGCCTGCACTGACACATTCAAGCCTCCTGTGGCCACTGCCGTGGCGCCCTACGTGTCCTGGATCAAGAAGGTCATTGGCCGCTGGCGGTCGCCGCCTCAGACCTAAAGCTGGGGGTGGGCTGTGGGGAGGCACAGGTGAGGGGTGGCAAGGGGCTGGCCACATCTCGGAGCACCAATAAACGGTACAAGGGTCTGTCTGAGCCTGCCTGGACTCTGCCGCACGCGGGCTGTGGGCCAACCCTGCCCTGCCTCCCCATCGACAGGTTCAGCGAGCCCTGTGTGGCTTGGCCTCTCCCAGCAGGGGCTCACGGGCCACCAGGGGGCGCCTAAGAGTCAGGAGACGCCCAACCCAAACACCCCAGCCAGTTCTGTTTGTGTTGTGTTTATTGAGATACAATACAGGTGTGCAATTGAGGCCTTACCTGCAGGCCCCTCACTCGACGACTGACAGGAAAACAGCTGGCTATAGTCGCCCGGCCCCCACGGTGCTCGCTGCCTCCAATCTTGTTTGTGTATTTCGTTTTGTTTCTGCTGAGACTACCCACAGCAGGATGTCCACCAGTGCAACACTCCTACGCTCCTACGTGTAGTTAAGTGACCGTGTCGGCAGGCATCGAGTGGGCGCCTGTTCTCACCGCCCTTTCCGGGCTCTTCATCCCCCATCCCCATGACCCCCTGGGTCTCCTGCCGGTCTCTGGAGTTCCTGTTTCACTGTGAGCTCATCTCGGTGGTTGTGGAAAAGCCACAGTGCTCAGGGCACTTTTCTGGTTAAGCTGGGCTATTGTCTGGCTCTGGTGGCCCAGTGCCAAAGGCATTTGACTGCTAACCAGAAGGTTGGCGGTTCAATCCCACCAGCCAGTCTGCGGAAGGAAGATGGGGCAATCTACTTCCGTAAAGATTTACCGCCTCGGAAACCCCTTTAAAGGGGGTGGCTATGAGTCGGAATCAAGTCGATGGCAGTGAGTTTGGTTTTTGGTTTTATTGTTTGGTTGTCAGAAGATTTCAGGGGCTATTTTTGGTTTGTCGTTGTTGTTGTTGTGTGCCCTCAAGTCGGCCCCGACTCATAGTGACCCCTCCTTGGGTTTCTGAGGCAGTATCACTACAGAAGTAGATTGCCCCATCTTCCTTCCAAGGAGTGGCCGGTGGGTTTGAACCGTTTGAGGTATAATAATTATCTCAGGGCAGTAGTCTTTGGGTTTATCCAGAGTTCATGGCTCCAGAAAGTCTGGGTCCCATGAGAATTTGATAGTCATTTCGACACTCCCCCCCTTTTGATCAGGGTTTCCTCTGTGGAATCTTTGATCAGTGTTCAGTAATTCTCCCTAGGGTTTTCTTTCCTTTTTTTTTTTTAAATTGTGATTTGGGTGAAAAACAGAGCAAATTGGTTTTCCGTCAGCAATTCCTACACACTGTTTTGCGATGTTGATGGCAGTCCCCCCAGCGTTACAGCTCTCTCCCCACTTCCTGTTTCCTGTTACCCTTCCCCCTCCTTGCTGTCCCTTCCTGCCTCTGAGTCTCACCCCTGGGCACATTGCCCTTTGGTAGCGTGGGTGACTGTTGTGAGGGGTGGGCACCCCCTGGTGTTAGTGCTCACCTCCAAGGACTGTCTGTTTCGGGGCTGAGAGTTGGGCCCAGGGCTCCATGGGGCCTTCAAGGGCTGATTTTCAGGAGATTGCCAGGCCATTCTTCTGAGGCACCCCTGGATGACTCGAACCAGCCTTTTAGCTGCAGCTCAGCTGCTCATAGGACACCAGTGCAAAAGCTTCTGCGCCTCACCCGTTTCCCGTGGGCGGCCCGGAGCTCGTGTCTTCTTCTCGGGTATTTTATGTGGCTCTGAACCCAAAGGTGTGTCAGGGAGTTTTGTACAGTGGAGACATTGCACTCCCCGTTGCCTAGGCCCACAGTGTTCTTGAAGGTAGGGTCCCTTCAGGACACCAGGCCTGGCTAAGTAACGACCTTCCAGAGTGTAGCCAGTGCCTCTCCCACTCACTGCCCTGCCCATGGGTGGACCCGTAGGCTTACTTCCCAGGCGTGGAGTTTGTTGGTCAAAAGGCAAGTGGTTTTTTTGTTTAAGGAAAAAAAAAAATCATTTATTTTTTGGTCATGCAACAATGCTCCTTAATTATTAGCACTTAGTAGGTGCTAGGCCCTCTGTGATGTGATTAGGACCCATAGGTGACTAGGACAACTCTTTGTTTATTAGGGAGAAAGAAGGGGGGTGAGAAGGAGGAGAGGGAGGCAGGAAGCGGAGGGAGGTGGGGGAGGAAGGCGGAGAAAGAGGGGAAAGGAGAGAGACCCCATGACGGGCAGAGTGCTGAAGGCTTCTGTATGTTTTGAGTAACCAGATCTTCTATTTTAGCATAATTTCAGACTGACTGAAAATGTGTGGAGATCTTTCTCATAGTGTGTTTTTATGCGGATAACGCGATAACGCGCACCCTCCACGCTTGTTTGCAGGCGGCTCCCTCTCCCCAGGAGGTATTTTTATAAGCACACTTTGCTAATTTTTTTACAGCAGCACTAGACCCCACGCCCCACGCCTTGTTGACATCTGACCTTGGTTATACTGGTGCAAAGGGCACAGGACTGACAGTCAACAAACGGTACAGATGTGCATTTTACTCAGCTTTCCCCAGTGCCCTGCCACTTCCCAGGACTCCGTCCAGGACCCATGTGACACTTGGCGATGTCAGGCGACACCTGTGGTTGTCACGATTCAGGGGAAGGAGGTGGGTGGACTCCAGGGAAGCTGCTATTTGGAAGCGTCATCCGTGTGTTGCATCCGCATGTCAGACCTTCCTTCCTTTCCTCGCTGAGTAGGTGGCACACTGGTTAAAGCATCCCACTGCCACCCAGAAAGGCCTGGGAACCCATCAGCAGCTCTGCAGGAGAAGGATGTAGCGGTCTGCCTCCTGGAAAGACTGACAGCCTCGGAAACCCTAGGGGCCTTGTCAGTCAGAGTCCCCTGGAGGGCAGTGGGTTTGGGGTTTTATGGGAATGCTCTGTTGTGTGGACCCCACTGTGTCTGCCCACCATGTGCTGCTGGACGTCGGCTGTTGCCGCCTTTGGCGCCTGTGAACAGCGCTGCCGTGAACGTGCGTCTACAGGTTTCTGGGTGGACACCCGGGGCGGTGTCGCTGGGTCTTGCGGTCCGTCGCGTTTGACCACTGGGGGCACAGGCCCTGGAGGAGCACGTGGCCTGGGCTTTGGCTGCTCCCAGAGTAGCTGGGCCTGACGTCCTGGACAGAGGTGGGGGGCCGCGAGGAGGAAGAGGTGGGCTTCCCCGGAGTCGAAGGTCACCGCACCCGCCACAGGTCCCGGGCCGCTGCGCCGAGATGAGTCGAGGATCACACGCAGGGGGCTCCACTGCCCATTGGGCTCATCTCTGGACCCAGACGCGTCCGCTCCACCGTCCCTGCTTGGCCTTCAGAACGCCGCCGCCCCGGTGAGCGGGCCTCGCAGCCACGGGGGGTGAGAAGCCCCTTCTCTCAGCGGCTCTGGGCGGACAAGCGCCTGCCCCGCCCGTTCCCCCAGCACTCCGGCTCCCGCTGGCCCCTCCCTGCTCGGAGATAGGAGCCTCCGCCCTCCGGGTGGTAGGCGGAGATATGCGCCTGCGCCCACGCCCGTGTGTGTGTGTGGGGGAAACCGGAAGGAGTAAAGAAGCAGCGCAGGGTGTGGGCGGTGGCTGCGCTGGGGTCCCTGGTGGTTGGAGCAGGCATCCTGCGAGGACCTGGGGCCCCTGCAGCAGAGGGGACACGGCCGTCAGTGCATTGCAGCCCACAGTGACCCATTGGGTTTCCAAGGCTATAAATCTTGATGGAAGTGGGTTGCCTCATCTTCCTAGGTGGAGCAGCTGGTGGGTTTGACCCACCGACCCTCCGGTTAGCAGACAGGTGCAGGTGCTGTGACCGCCGCACCAGCTGAGCGCCTTTCTGAGGGCCTTAGAGCAGCCGAGATTTGCTTTCTCACAGTCTGGAGGGCAGGAGCCCGGCTTCAGGATGTGAGGCTCTAAGGAAGGGGCTTTCTTGGTCTCTCCCAGTTTCTGTGGCCCCAGGCTGTCCGGGGCTTGTGGCGGCATCCCTCCCCCTCTGCCTCCGTTGTCATATGCTGTCTTCTCTCTGTGACAGAGCATTTTGGGGCAGTGAAACGATACTGCATGAACTATGGTGGGGACACACAACACTATGCATTTGTTAAAACACAGCCTGTGCAACACGGAGTGAACCCTCGTGAGAACGAGCAGGTGGCTCTAGGAGAAGGCATCTCCAGCAGGGTGTCCGTCGGTGGTACTTAAGATTGTGTGTCAGCTGGACTGGCCCGTGCCCCTCAGTGGTTTGGCAGTTATGATGCAGTCTCCCCATGATGAGATCTGCTGTAACGTCATCACCTCCAGGACGAGATCTGCTGTGAGCAGCCAATCAGGGGCATGGAGTTTCCTCGGGGGTGTGGCCTGCCTCCAGTTCATCCGGTAGAGATCTGTGGCTCTCTGCTCCAGATCTTGCATATGGCTTCTCATCATCTGGGCTTGACCCAGTGGCCTGCCGCGTTGCCTGCTGGTCTTGGCATTAGTGCCTTCGAACCAGGTGAGTCAACAACCTGCCGTTTTACCTGCTATCTTGGCTTTGTCAGCCCCTGCAGCTTTGTGAGCCGGGAGAAGCCTCCAGAGTGACTTCTGACCCACGGACCCCGGGCTTGGCAGCCTCTGTAGCTGTGTGAGCCATTTCCTCAAGATACATTTCTTTGTCTCTCTCTCTAACCTTCCCTGGTTTGCTTCTGCAGAGACCCAGCCTGAGAAACATTGTAATAAACATGCCTCAGCCATGATGGTAGTTGTGAGAGAAACCGTGCAGGCAGGGCTGTGTGGGAGCTCTCTTCACAGTTTCTCTGTGAGCCACAAACCACTCTGAACTGCAAGTCTGTCTTTAAAATATGCATAGTAAGAGACCAAAGCAAAACGCCTCTGGGTGGTGGTGTGAGGGAGGGGGGCCGTGGTGAATCTGAGGGCACCTTTGTGTAAGGCTGGAGCGAGGCCGAAGGGCCCTCACTGAAAACCACAGAACTTTCACAGACCAGCAGGTGGGATTAAAGTGGACGTTGAACATAGTA